GGCTCCCTTGAGGCTGGACAGCACTGCCGACATTAAAGAGAGGTAAAGCCTCAGCGTGGCTCACGCACAGAGGATGCAGGAGGACAGTGCCTGATCCATCAGGGAATCCCTTTGGAGATGGGTTCCTAGGAGGGATCCCCCTCTGTTGTGCCTGGGCCGGGGGATTCATGGCAGGCACTGGGATGCAGGTCCTGAGGGAGTTACATGTCCCCCATTGATCCGCATTGTTCTTTGTTGACCCCATAGATTCCATTGACTGATCCCCAGTAATGCCCATTTACCTTCATAGCCCCTAACTGAACCCATAGCCCTCCATACACTGTCGTTTACCCCACAGACATCTGATGATCTCATTGACCCCCAGTGGCCCCCACTGGCTCCCATAGCCTTCCCATTGGTCTCTGCTGACCCCCCCCCTTGTTCCCCATAGCCCCCAATTGATCCCCATTGGCCTCCAATGGTCCCTATTGACCTCATAGCCCCCCAGCTAAATAACCTCATAGACCACCACCCTATGGATATCCCATTGACCCTGTAGCCCCCCAGCCTCCCCAGCCCCCAAGTCAGTGGCACTGTGGGCTGTGCATGGGGCTGGCCCAACACTGGGGGGTGCAGAGGCTCCAGGGGCTCCAGTCTGGCCAGTTCCGTGCACTGGGAGGGCATGGGGATGCCCCACCCCATTTGACCCCTGTGGGGGGAGCCTATGGGGTGGTCTATCGGGTGCTTATGGGGCACTATGGGGTGGGTATGGTGCAACTATAGGGTGCTGTAGGGTAGCTGTAGGGATCTCTATGGTCACATAGAGCTGCTACAAGGTGCTATAGGGCAGCTGTAGGGCCATAACTGGAGGGATACCAGCAGACTGGAAATCAGCCAATGTTACCCCCATCTACAAGAAGGGACAGAAGGATGATCTGGGAAATTACAGGCCTTTTAGACTGACTTCAGTACGTGGAAAGCTGATGGAGCAGATCATCCTGGGTATCATTATGTGGTACAGGAAGAACAACCAGGTGATCAGGCCCAGTCAGCATGGGCTTATCAAGGGCAGGTCCTGTTTGACTAACCTGATCTCCTTATTGGACAAGTGAAGGGCTGTGGATGTTGTCTACCTTGACTTTAGCCAGGCCTTTACAAGGTTTCCCAGAGCATTCTGAATTCTGAATTCAGTTTCAGACATGAAACAATTCTCCTTTGCTATTTCTCCATCTGCTGGAATTCAGTAAAGCACTGAGATGGAGTGGCACAGAGATCGTAACTGCAGAGACTGTCCCATCGCGAGCTGATGCTGTCACAGAGGCTGACAAAACACTCCCGTGACTTCTTCCCCCAGTGAGGAGGGCTGTGTAAAGGGACGGGGGGCACGCGTGGCCCTCGCCTCGCACAGGGATCCGTGGCTGCTGGACCCAACCTTAGGGCGGAGGCTGGAAACACGGGCCTCACCACGCCCACAAATTGTTCCTGAGGCCCAGGTTCAGTTTACGAATTAACCAGTTTATGAAGGGATAACAGAAACTGGGGGACCAAGGTTCAGGAGAGGTAGGCTAGGGGAATAAATCGAAAGTACTATGCCCTTATTAAATGTACACGCTGAGGGCGAGGAGTGGAATCAGTGGAGTAATAGGGTAGGAATTTAGACTGGCAGGAAAGGGGGGGGGTGTGTGCTCCGGTGAGCGGCGATCCCTCCTGGAGCGGGCTGGCTCCGGTGGGAGGCTCGATCCCTTGGGAACAGGCCAGCTCCCCATGGAGCCGGTACAGGTGCCCCCCTTGGCTCCTCCGGGCAGCGGGGCTAGCGGTTCCAGGCGGCTTCTGGTGCTGCAGCAGGGTCTGCAGAACTTGTCTTCTTTTATAGACCAGACATCACTGTTCAAGTTAGGTACCACTGCTCAATCTAGCCAATTAGCACTGGCCAGGTATGTACTCTGTCAGAGGCATCTTTAACCTTTTGTCTATTTTTCTGTCAGTTATCATAACCCTGATGCTCTTTTCTTGCTGTGGACTTCCCTGGTAGAGCAAGGGGCCTGTTCCAGTCCATCCTTGGCTAAATCAGCAAAAAGACAGCACTCTTGCTTTGCTGGCTTAAAAGGCATTTTGTTTAGTCTTATGTGGGGGGAGAGAAGATGGATCATTCCCCACAGTCCTGTTAAAAGTATAAATGAAAAAAGGAAACAAAATGTTGATGTGACTTTGTGTTATTAGCATTATTAAATACTGCAATGTGCAAAAGTTAGTGGCCAATGTTTTCAACTAAACTCGTAAGAAAGGCTGGTTGGTTAATTTGGTTTTCAGGCAGCACGCATTAGATACCGAGCAGCTGAAGAAGCAAATGAGCCAGAGAGACAGAATATGAATGTGTATGCTCTATTATATCGGCAAGGCAGATGTATTTACACTAATTTACACCCAATCCTTTCATGTTATGGATTTCTACTGCATTTGCCTTCTTTTTACACCTTTTTTTTGGGGAAGAAAAATGTGGAAAAACATAAACTTCTTTCATCTAGTCTGCAAGCAGAGAAGGAAAGACTAAAGTACAAGGGTGATTAACTGAAATTCATTTGCCTTGCCCTAGGAAATCCAATTACATCAAAGCAGGGGGAAAAAAAAAAAAGTTTTGCAGATGCAGTCACTAAAATGTGAAGCACTGCAAAGGTGCATGGCAGATAGCATAGTGCCCTTAATTCTGACAAACCTAATGGGGTACCAAAAGGCATCAGGTTAAAAACAGTTTTATGTTACCTTGGGCACACTTAGACAAATCAAATTAGTTAGAAACATAACAGGATTGGTCTGCTGCTTGGAGATAAAACAAGACTCATGCCTTGAAAAGTTTCCACAGCAGCATCCACAAAGTTTGTTGCAGTCTGCTTTACTGCAGGCTTTAGACAATCTCTGCATGCCTATTTGCCAAAGTGCTTGCACCCCTCGCCCCCATGGAGACACCACAGGAGGCAGTGACTTCTCCAGAAGGGTGTCTGTGTTCCGTTCCTGATGATCCTTGCGCCTGGAAGGGGTTGGGTGAGGCCCAGGCTGCCCCAGTCGGGGTCTGCAGGACGGTGGGGGTGACACAGCACCAAGCAGCGCCAGCGTCTCTGTCTGCACTCAGCATCAGGGCAGGCTTTGGGAGGAAGGTGGAGCCTTTTACTTGTCAAACCTCAGCTGGGTCTGGCAGTTCGTTGGCAGGAACTGCTGATAGTACGGCTGCATGTCCTTTACCCCTGGTGGGACCTGCCAGCCCCCAGGGGCGCCCCCCAAGGCCAGCAGGGTCCAGCCGTGCCGGCTCTGTCCCTCCTGCCCTGCCGTGGCTGCTGCACCCCAGGCCTGGGCAGCCTTTCCCTGTGGCTCTCAGGGCAGGCACAAGTCCTGACAGGGCTGCCACCCTGCACAAGGCTCCCAGGCAGCCTCTCTGCTGGGACTGCCAGCGGCACCTGGGTGTGTGTGTCTCCTTGGGCTCTGCTGGGCACTCCTGGCCAGCCAGGGCAGGGCCCTGAGCAGGTCTTGCCTGAGCCCTCCCAGAGGCTGCATCCTGCTTTCCCCAGCACAGGTTGGGCCAGCAGGACATCCTCCCCAGTGCTGCTTTGGTGCCCTCTGGGAGAGCACCTGAGCGAAGCAGTGGCTTGATGTCCCCACAGCCTGTGCCAGGTGCCCCTCCAGCCATTGGAGGCCACGGGCCTGCCATGATGGGCAGTATCAGAAGGTCCTGGGCTCTCTTCTGTTTTTAATGCTAGCCCTTATTCCTACTCTGCTCTGCTCTACCCACAGCCTGCCTGCAGTGGAGGTCTTTTCTCAGGAGACTGAGGGAAAGCAGGCAGCCACAGATGGCCTGCCTCTCCTGTTGGCAGCAGCCTGTGAACTAATCTTTATGCCTTGGGAAGAGGAGATGCTGCGTAACTTTGGGGAAATCAGTCCACTAAAGGTTTTTGAGATGGAGGCAATGTTTAGAAGATGCCATCAGTGTCTCGTATAAACTAGTCACTACACATGGAATAACATGAATATCCTCTTGTTAAGTCTCCCTTGATCCAACTAGATAATATTGTGACAGGACTTCTGTCTCTAGATAACTCTGCAGTAGAAACAGTAGCTAATTTCTGGTTATTCTTCCCTCACAGGAAGTTATTCTTCAATCCTTTTGCACCTTTGCCCATTTGATCATGTCCACATACAGTCACTGCCAGTCACTGATCCTCTTATCCTTGACACTACTGTGAGGAGTTGCACTGAATTTGCAGAACCATCTCTGCAAACCATGATTTTCAAAAGAGGTCTATTTATATGGACTACATACAAGAGCAACCACTAATTAAGCTCTTAAAATGAAAGGTATTTTCAAAGCCAAATTCTTGGTGTAAAACAGTTTAAGCTTAACCATTCACAGGACCAAATTTTACTTCCTCCACTAGAAATATTTCTGATACATCTTCCGAGTTAAATGAACGTTGACTAATGCTAATTTCCTCTTAACTGTATTTGATTGCATGTAGCTCTGCATCCACAGGAGGGGGCCCTTGCATACCATTTTGAGCAATTTGCTGCCTAGCTGTTTTCATACACTAATGCTCCCTGGCGAAGCAGGAATTAAGGGGAAACACACTGGCACGTACATGGCCAGTAGGCTGCACTTCAGCTGTGCTGTGTCAGATCTTCCTGAGGGATCAGAGCGTAGCTGAGCATTAGGTAAGTAGAGGTTAGTCCTGCTAGGCCATGTTTCTTGCTATGAAGATGGTTAGAGGACTAGAACATCTCTTGTATGAGTGAAGGCTGAGAGACTTGGGTGTTTTTAGTCTGGAGAAAAGAAGACTGAGGGAGGATCTTATCAATACTCATTACTTAAGGGGGGGGATGTCAGGGCGGTGTCAGTGTTTTTCCAGTGGTGCCTCGTGACAGGACAGGAGGTAACAGGCACAAACTTGAACATAAGAAGTTCCATCTAAACAGGAAGGAGGAACTTCTTTACTTTGAGGTTGGCTACCCAGAGCAATTGTGAAGTCTCTGTCTCTGGAGATATTTAAAATCCATCTGAATGCCATCCTGTGCAACCTGCTCTGCCACAGGGGTTGGACTAGATGATCTCCAGACGTCCCTTCCAGCCCCTAACATTTTGTGATTCTGTGTGTGTGATTCTCTGATCTTTTAAAACCGACCAAGGTGTGACAGCTTGGCAGAACTGATGTTTAGCATCTCTGAACTTGAAGATTTTCAAAGCTGAAGCTATAGAAGAAGCTGGCACAACCTTAAAATGCCAGTAGGACTAGTCTTACCTCCACCAATAGAATCAACAGCAAGT